AGACTGCCCCCGGAGCTGGCGCGCGAGCACGGGGCCCTGTAAAGGCTGCTGAGGGCAGGCACAGGGGACACTTGTTGGCGTGCCCATGATAACACCTTCTGCCTTTCCTTGCAGACTGCGCTCAGTGCTTTCTTCCAAGAAACAAACATCCCGTACAGCCACCACCATCAGATGGTAAGTGCCTCTGCGCCCTCCCGGCGCGCGCCTGGAGCGCGGCACCAGCTGGCGGGCGCTTCTGGGGGACGTCCGGGCAGGGGGCCCTGGCTGGCACTGGCAGAGCTGTGGCCCAGGGAGGTTTTCCTGGAGAGCAGCTGGAATGGGCTGTATCCCAGCTGTTGCTTTCCACCTTTCCTTGTCCCATGAGCCTGTTCGGGCAGGAAGTCGCTGCGGCGATGGGGATTAGTCCCTGGTAGCCACCAGAAGCTGCAGTTACCAACTGTGGCAGTGCTAGGGGAGCCTGTCCCTGGGCTCCAGCTTCAAGCCTGGCCCTCCCTTGGCTGTCACTTGGGCTGCCAGGTCAGACCCCCTCGTGCTGGGGAGCTCTGGCACAGCCCTGTTGTGTGCAGAGGGACACCAGCTCTGGGGATGCCCTCAGCACCCTGCAGAGGCCCTGGAGCTTCCCCTCGGAGCGGGGTGATCCGGACGAGGATTCTCTGGGCACGACCGACAGTCTAGAGCAACCCCAGCCCAGCAGAGAGAGGCCGGGGAGGCCCCGGAGCACAGGCGTGTGCTGGAGCGCCCGAGCGTGCAGGCTCCTGTCCCCGCAGGGATGTGTCCCTGTGCGCCCTGTGCGTGTCTCGATGTGTGGGAGCGTGTGGGGGCATGGCGTGCTGCTCGCCCGGCTCTGCCCCTTTAACTCTCGTGCCTGGGCAGTCCGTAATCTGCCTGGGCAGATGTGTCCTGGGGATTTGCTGCCTGCCGCGGCCTCGTTTGACTCCCTGAGACAACTGGGGATTTGGAGCCCGTGGCCAGTGCGCAGAGCAAGCGCCGGGGGCCCACGCGCACCCGGGCTCACCCGGGCACCGGAGCGGGGCTCCCCCGGGCCCCGGAGGCGGCGACGGACCCTGAGGCCGGGCCCGAGGCTTGTGCTGCCCGTGGGGCTGCCAAGCGGCCGGGCCGGGGAGGCCGGGGAGCACAGGGAGTCTCCAGCATGGCTGGGCGAGCAGTGGGCTTGGCGGGAGCTGTCTGGGACCCAATGAGCTCTCGAAGAGGATTAGTCAGGATAGGCATGTGTCCCCTGCCACAGGCCCATTTAATGAGGCCCAATAAAGAGACTGAGAGCAAATGCCTTGTCATGTTGCTGCCTGCAACGCAACATGCCTAGCTGGGGAAGATGAAGGCTTTCCTGAGGGCCTGTCAGTCTCTAGTGCTCCTTGTTTCCCCTCCTGTCCTGTTCTGCGCTCAAGTTCTTTGGGGTGCCAGGTTTTCAGCTGCAGTTCACACAGCTGCCCTGCAAGTTGTGCCACAAAGGGACCTGTGTGAGAGTGAGGTGGCCCCAGACCCCTTCTAGCCATGGGGTTCCAGGAGCAGGAATTGATCTGACTCTCCCTCAAGGAGACACAATCTTGAGGAAATTTGTTTGTCTCCCAGTTGTGCTTTGCCAGGCTGCACACAAAAGCTCTGCTGTCTCACAGCATCTTTGATATGTGAGAGACTGTGAAGAAGGTGCAGAAATGAGTGAAAAGAGTGTGGAGTGGTGTTGAGAGGCTATATATGGGCAGCTGAAAAGACCTTGTGTGTTCTTGGCTTTAAGTGCAATGTGCCCACCTCCCTTGGAGGGGCTCTGAGAAAGGGAGGGAAGCTTGAAGATCTGCACTTCCAAACTAGATTGCTATGCACTCAGTAGAGGCTGGGTTCTTTTCCAGGTGTGTGATAAGTGTGATCATGCTCCAAGTGAAAGAGCTGGAAGCATCAGACAGCTGGGACAAGGCTAATAGGCAGACTGTCTTCACTAAGCACCAAGGGCCAGTGAATCCTTTCCTCTCATCAAGAACATTTTATTTCCACAAGAAAAAAAGAATGTAGGAATATATATGTATACACGCATATATGCCTATGTGCGTGTAAACATATAAAATCGTATATATAGGAATATACGTACTCATATACCTACATATACCTACCTGCCTATATATATAAATATATATATATACATATTTTTTTTTTCCCCCCTCCCCAAAGAGGAGAGGAACTCCACTGCCAGGGTGTCTGGCAGCCACAGAGACACACGAGCAAATAGCTGCCTTGCATGGGTTTGGTTTGAAGTAGTTTTTACTTGTCCTAAAGCTGAACGGAGCTTCCCCAGAGACGATGGGAGGCTGCGTGGGACGCGAGGCTGGCGCTGGCCTCCGCCTGGAGCCCGCTGCTGCAGGGCTCGGGGGGCAGCCCCCTCTGCTCCCGTGGGACACTGGAGTTTGCATGCGAGTGACGTTTGCGGAGGAGGCCCCTTGGTCACGGTCCCCTTCCCCGCCCGGGCTGCCACGGGGAAGGGATCGCGCCCGAGCGAGTTCCCCCCTGCCTGGCCCGTGTGAGTGGGTCGGGGGATGGACACCCCACGCATTTTTTTTGTAAAGGGTGGGGAACAAGAGAGCAAATATTGGTTCTGCTCCGCCGTAGCCTCTGCCCCACACGTGCTGCGCTCCCGGCCTGCCCTCCCCTCGCCCTCGCGGCCTGGGCGCCCACGCGGGGGCTGTTTGCATGACACAGTGTAACCCTAGAGACTGGGCTCGTTTTTAACCCCTCTGTTCTTTTCTCCCGGTGGCTGAAAGTCTACCCAGACGCGCCGCAGCCGCTTGCAATACACGCTCTTCTGCTTTGAACCCGGTGTCCTCGCTTCGTTTGCAGCAGCAGTGGGACGCGGGGATGGCTGGCCTGGGATGTCGCAGGATCCCTCCTCCAGCGGCACCGAGCGGGGACGGGGACGGAGCTGGGGCCGGTGTGTCCTCCTCTCCTTCGGCCTGTCCGTGAGCTGCTCCCAGCACCCCGTCCCAGCTGCACAGTGCCCACCAGCTGCCTCAGGGCAGGTGTGTGCAGGGCTCAGCCCCGCGGGTGCCCGACTCTGTCCCAGCCCATCACATTGGCCACGGGCGGGAGTTGGCAGCGCAGGGCCAGGCTGGCAGCAGCGTTGGGAGCTTGACCCCTGCACGGCCCGGGTGTCTCACCTGGCTCCCATCCCCATAGCCGCCTGCTTGCCAGTCAATAATTAATTTCCATCTCTTTTTTTGTGTTGCTAGAATAAACGTCGTAGGAGCGATGGCTGCATGAGAGCAGGGGCTGCATCTCCCCAGCCTCCTGGACAGCCCCGATGGCAGCTGGACGGCAAAGGCCAAAGCAGGGGCCTCCCCAGCAGCTCAGCCCTGTGCTGTGGGACAGGCCACATGGGGCCAAGCCAAGAGGCCGGGGCTGCAGGTGACATGTGGCAGGTCCAGGCCGAGTGGATCATGGCCAGCACAGGAGCAGGATGGTGTGAGATGCAGAGCCCCCACTTTTGGGGATGGTGGCACTGGGGAGACACCGGGAAGGGATTTGTCCCTGTTCTCAGCAGGAGGCAACTGCCACTGAGGTGCAGGTGAAGCCAGAGGCCACCGACCATGGAGGCCATGGATGGATGGAAGAGAGGCCAGTGTGGCAGGGCAGTTTGTCTGTGGCTATTCCAAGTCCACCCAGAGTGATGAGATCAGCAAATCCCAAGCGCTGGAGGCCAGGTTGGTTAGAGGGAACATTCGGGACTTAGCCCGAAAGCAGTCCCTTGCGGAACAAACTGATGGAAACTTGTGGCTGCGGCAGGGCAGGCACCACCACCACGCTGGAGCGCCCCAGCTCTGCCAGGCACCGCAGCCACGTCTGCCCAGCCGATCCCCAGCCTCCCCTGACACGGCCCATGTTGGTTGGAGCGCCAAAGCCTCCGCAAGAGCGGTGTAGCCCCCCCGCAGCTCCTGCAGCGTGGGACGCTTGGTCACTTGCAGGTGCCTCCTGCTCCTGGCGGGTCCCCAGTGCCGTTGCCAACCTCTGCTGCCGTCCCCTGCACCGTGTGGCTTCACTGCCCCATCCAGGGTGCGGTGTTTTGGGTGCTGGACGCTCCCCATGCAGCAAAGCTCGTCCAGGCCGCATCTCCAAGGATACCCCGTGTAGCTTGGCGAATCCAAGGACCACGCGGGAGGCAGCTGAGCAGGGAGCATCTTTATGGCCCACAGAGTCACCCTGCTGCAAGGAGCAGCTAAAAGGGGAGCCCCAAGGCATAGGCTGGGCCAAGGCAAAGGAGAGGCCAGGCAGGGCAAGGACCAGTCCCCGGGGTGCAGGGCCACCTCTCCCTGGCCTCGCAGCCCTGGTGCTCCCAGTCCTCCTGCGCTGTTTCTACTTGTGACGGTGGCGATGGGGCCAGCGGGCTGAGCCGTGCTGCTCTCCGGCCGGCTCAGATGCCCGGGACATCCTGGCGCCGGCCTCCCGAGGACGGGGCCCTCGCCCGCAGGGCAGCACCTGCCGAGCAGAGAGCAGCAGTGCGGCCAGGCAGTGCCTGGCACGGGGCACAGCAGCCCATCCCTGTAGGAGCAGCCCGGAGCACCTGGGCAGCAGGACGAGCCCACGTCCCCTGGGACTCACACGAATATGGGGACACGTAGTGGCTGCCGTACTTGGTGGGGCGCATCTTCTCTGCAGCCTGCCGGGAGGGAGGCTTCAAGGCCTTCATTCCTTCGGGGCAAAGGAGGGAGATGGCGGTGGCTGGGCCGCACGGGCAGCCACCGCCAACTGCTTGGGCCCGAGCAGAGAAGCGAGTCACGGTGCAGGGCCGACAGCTGCACGGCCGACCTCTGGCAGCGCCAGGCCAGGCACGGCCAACGGGACCTGCCGGCTCTGGCCATCCCAGCGGGCGGTAATGCAGCCTCCAGCACTGCCTCCTTACCTGGGAAGTCACCTTCCATGCCGACAGTCCTGTTGGTGGCCCCTGAGCACAGTCTGCCCTTGTACAGCACCCCATTGATACCCAGAATATCCACTTCGGTCTAGAGGGAAGAAGAGCTGGTGGCATCGGATGGGCCTGGAGGCTGTGCCTGGCCTGTGAGCTCAGTGGCTTTCCAGAGCACGAGGCCACGAGGACGCATGGAGACACGGGGACACGCAGGCCTAGGGCTCACGTTCTCGGTGGTGAAGGCAGTGGGGTCTCCGTAGGGGCAGACGGTGCTGAAGCAGCTGGAGGTGAAGAGCTGCCCGGCAGCACTTGTGGCACACGCGTCCCCAGGCCAGCGCTGCGGTGCCGCACCGGCACCCTGGGCAGCCATGGTGCTCCCTTCGCCCTCCCTGGGAGGACAGCGCCGGCTGTTACCCGCTGCCCACTGCCCAGGGCTCGCTGGGGAGCCCGTGTCAAACACAGAGGGAAACCGCCCAGTGGGGCTTGTCCCTCTGCCCAGGGGCACGGTGGCTCCAGCAGCCAAGCGGCAGCCTGGGACACGTCCAAACCCACAGCGTTTCCCGTGCGGTGGCTGGCAGCGCTGCGGTGCCCGCGCGTGGCCGTGCCGGTGCATGGTGAGCCCTCACCTTGCCTGCGCCCGGCGCGCCAGGTACTCGTAGCCGTTGGCGCTGGCCGGCCGGGGACGCGTGAGCAGGTTGCTCTTCCTGACGGTCACCAGCTGCCTGGGGACAGGGATGCAAACACCAAGTCAGGCAGTGGCCTCTAGTGGAAAAGCGGCGCAGTGGTGGCGGTGGCGTCCCCGCCGGCTACTCACGGCCTGCGGGCCATCGTCAGGGGTCTGTCGCAGGAGATGCATTTCACCCGCTCAAAGAGCTGCCTGCAAGATGGGGTGGCTGCTCAGGGTGCAACAGCAGGTGGTCCCTGAGGGACCTTGCAAGGACCCATGGGGCCCGTGCGCTTGTGCAAGGTGGGACAGACAGAGTTTGGGAAGAAGCAACCTCTGCACAGAATGGGATGGGCTATAGTGTGATAGGATGGGACAAAATATGATGGGACAAGAAAGGATGGGATGGAATGGAAAGGGATGAGGGGGATAGGGCAGGACAGAGTGGAATGGGACAGGACTGGACAGGATGGGATTAGAGGGGACAGGATGGATGACAGGGGATATGATGGTACAGAATGGGATGGAACAAATGGGAAGAGATGGGCTAGGACTGATGGCAGGGAATAGGACAGGATGGGATGAGATGGGATAGAACAGAACAGGACTGGATGGTATAGAATACTACAGAGCAGGACAGAATGGGATGGGAGAGCCCAGGACGGGTCAGGATGACACCACCAGCTCTCACCTTTTAAAGCCAGCAGCGCTGTTGGCGCTGAAGGGCGGGCCCTGGCGCAGGTACTTCTTGGTGAACCTCCACACCCGCTCCAGCTGCACCCGCAGCGGGTTCAGCACCATGTGGTCCAGCTGAGGGAGAACAAGGAGGGACTGGGGGCTCAGGCACCCAACACTGTGTTGAGCCAGGGCCATCTCAGGAGATGCTGCAGCCCCAGAGGGGTCCTGTGGGCTCACTAATCCGTGAAGGATGTTGGGGGACACCCCAAGTGCCCAGTCCCAACACACATAACATTGTCTCCTGGTACAAACAGACTGAGCCTCCACCCTCCCTGCTTGGCAGGCAAAAGAGAGGGGTCTATTCCACATTCTGGCCTGGAGCAGGGAGCCCTGAGACTGCCCCCATCCCTCTGTCCCTGCCACCCTTCCTGGGCAGTGAGGCTACCTTGGAGTCCATGTCACTGACGAGCTTCTCTAGAGCTTTCTGCCAGTCCTGGTCCTGCAGAGACATCTTCTGCAGCAGGTCCTGCATCATCTCACTCAGCTGGGCTATGGCACTTTGCAGCTCCTCCTGGCTCACTTTGGTTTCCAGCTCAGCCTTGTCTGCTTTCTAAGGGAAGCGCAGTGCCAGGGCTGCCTCTGCGGCCCCCAGCCCTGCCCCTGCCCTGCACAGAGCTGCCATCAACTGAACCCAGGGCAGGGCAGGGGACAGGAGCTCTGCTACAGGGAGCAAATCTTTGGGGTGGCTTTTTTGGCTCAGGGAAGGGCCAGTGAGGAGGTCCCCTTGGCTCCCATCCCCAGGGGGATGAGGCACCAGACAGTCAAGCTCAAGGAGCAAATAGCACTGCTGCCACCTCACACGTGTGGTGCACAAGTCCCAGGGTATTTTGGGGTGTTTCTACTCACAACGTCCATGCCCTGCTCCAGCAGGGCCTTGTCTGCTTTTCTCATGTCCAGATGTTCCACCATCTCGCGCAGGCTCTGCTCACAGGCGACGCAGCCATCAGTGAGTGCCAACCACAGACCTCACCACGGCCTGGGGGCCACCCAACATCCCACCAGCCTCCCTCCCAGCCCGCCGGTTTGCACCACCACAGCCCCTCTCCGCCAGGATGGCCCAGCACAAAATCCCCATGTGCCAAGTTCCCCAGGGTTGCCTGGAGCACTTGGACTAGTGGGAGAAGAGCCATGAGTGAGTGAAGCTCTCCCTTCCCACAGCACAGACTGCATTTCTAGCCCCGTTTGGAGGCTAATCACAACAGGAGCTGCTCTTGGAGCGCTGTCGAGCCCAGGGCTGCCCAGGACATGCTCACCTGGACATCCTCAGTGTCACTCCAGAGCCGCTCCGCAGCCTCCTGCAGCCTGGTGCACTGCTCCCGCAGCTGCCCCACTTGCTCCAGCACATTCTTGCGGAAGTCCAGTGCCTGTGGAGGGCAAAACGTGACCCATGGTAAGGACCATGGCCTGGATGAAGCGAGATGCTGCAGGGACTTGGGCTCGCAGGCGTCTCCAGTGCGGGGGCCCTCCGAAGGGCACAGCGGTGTGACTCGCAGCAAGAAGAGTCCCCAAGGCCTGCCAGCACCTCCCACCAAAGCCTTGCACCTTCTCTTCTTCATCCTCCAGGTGCTTTATATCATCCTGCACCCTCTCCAGTTTGGCAGCTATGTCATCCAGGGTGCCGACGCTGGCTGAAAAAGGACAGCAAAGCTTTACTCCTGGGCTGCTGCCGTGGAGGCTGCAGGCTGCAGGCATGGCACTGTCCCCAGCCAGGGTGCTCACCACGCTGCCGCAGTTGGCTCTCAAGGTGGGTGACGCGGGTGCCCATGGCCTCGTGCTGCTCCGGCAGCAAGCTCAGCCTGCGCAGGGCCTGGCGGGCCGGCTCCTGCACGTCCTCCGGGCCAGGCTCCTGGACACCGGCTTTCTGAAACAAAACAGCTCTGGAGCTTTGGGGGAGAGACAAAAAACCCAGAGCCAAGGGCACTGATGGCCCCATGTCTCAGGGGAGCCCCAGCCAGAATGCAACTGCCCTGCAAGCCGCTGAGCTCGGGCAGAGCTGTCTGATCCAGGGGCCTGAGCGAACCTCGCCAGCGAGTGCGTCGCGGAGAGTGCTCCAGCGCACCATGTCGGCCTGCCGGGGCAGGGCGCCCAGCTCCTTCCGCACCTCCGCCTGTGTCCAGGAGAGAAAAGCAGTGGTTTTACACTTCCCAAACCTCTGTGCTATGTCCAGCAGTGCCCTGCACCACCCTGACCCTTCCAGTGCCCAAGGGCTGGTGTAAAACTGTTCTGCAGTGAAGTGTCCACAGATAGGAAGAGCCCTGCTAGGCTAGATCCTCATCTGGACAGGTCAGCACTGCTCAGCTGGGGCTAGGAGAGCCCTTGGGGGGGCCTCAATATTTTTCCCATATAAATTTGCCAAGACCTCACCCCAGACAGCAGCCTAGGGACATTCCAGCTGGCAGGGTGCTGAGTGCCTCTGAGCACCAGGCACCAAGGGGGCTGCCTCAGATCTCCTCTGCCTCCCCGCTCACCATTTGGTCCAGGAGGCTCTGCAGGAGGTGGCCATGCTCATCCAGCTGTCCCAAACGCTCTCGCAGATCCTCCAAGCCAGTCTGTCAAACAGAGACACCAGCAGGGATTAGCATCACCAGGGATCAGCAGCAGGCAGCCCAGCCTGGCGCTGAAGCGCGAGGGAGCCTGGGATGGGATCTCACTCTCCATCACCCTGTTCCCCCTTGCTGGCCACACAGATCCCAGGCCAGGGGAGCCCAACCCTTCTGATTTCCAGCAGCCAACCTGGCCCCCCGCACGCACCTTGTCCTTCAGGAGCTGCAGCTCCTCCTGGAAGGCCTCGACAGTGGTTTTCAGGGAGCAGATGGTGGTGAGCAGTTCCTGCAGTGTGTCCATGGCCTGAGGAACACAGGAGGGCATGGGGAAATGGGGGTGTCTGTGCCAAAGGAAGGGATTGGTTGCCTGGCGAACACCATGGCTTGAGTGAGGAAGATGGTGCTGTGTTCACATTACATTTCTGACTCATAAACATTAACAGTCAAATAAATTGAACCTACAACGTGTGAACACCCACAGCTCAGTAATGCAGGGAAGATCTGAGAAAACGACCATGTTTTGGGCACTATGGTCCTGCCAGGTGAGCTGAGGGCTGGGCACTCCAGTCAACACCATCCCAGCTCCTGGGTTACAGCCCAGTGCAGGGTATCCAGCACAGGGGCTGTGGAGGCACAGGATGGGGACAGGAGGGAAAGGTGCTGTTGCCCAGCGATACTGTACACCAAAGTGCCCTGCTTAGAGCCTGGTCTTGCTGGAGTACAACGAGGGTGACCCTTGCTAAGGGCTGGATAGGACCTAAGGTGTGGGGAGACAGAGGAGCAGGATCAGCCCAAAGGCCCCTTCTAAGTCCATAGTCCAGGGTATTATAACAACCTTCCCAGGTAATCTCTATATCCCCACAGCTCTTTACCCTCTCCAGGTGATCCTTATTAATACCTCACCCTTTGTATTCCCATATCTTCTAAACCCAGTTCAGAATACTGATGCAATTAACTCATCCTCTATATTCCCATATTGGTTGGCCTCAGAAAATCCTTTAACCATCAAGCAATCAGACCACTGTTCTCATCCCTGGCCACACCAACCTTTCTTCCTACATATTCCCATACTAAGGGACCTAAACTTGCTCTCCAGAGCAAATACCACTACAGCCTCCATGGCAGCTGGGAAATGACCAAAACCACCCAAAATCCTGTCTTTAATGAGTCCCAATGAAGCAGTCAGGCCCATCTAAAGCAGACCGTGGCTGCAGAAACGTGGCTCAGCTCTCCAGCACTGTGGGAGCAGATGTACCTGAGGGCAGGTCACTGCACAGGGCAGGACCTCATGTAGGGA